AGAGCCTATGCATGGTTTTTAAATGGAGGAACTCTGAAATGGAATGGCAATGCAGTCTAATCAGGGCCAAGTCTCCTTTTTCTTGAAGGGTGAGTTTTTGTTACTATATGGACCTTGGAGGAAGTGTCACAGTGCCCAAAGCCCATCAGGGGATGAAAACCACAATGTGAATGAGATTATAATTAATTTTAATGGAATCAAGTCACTTTTGGCTCTTTTGGATACAATAATACCTTGATTCATATACACTTCTATTCACAAACAATTTTGTTTGACCATCTTCCCCTCTTGGACATGTGGTTGTGGGTTCCTCTAGTTGAAATTTTGATCATAAACAGACCCATGCACACTTGTTGTGAAGCATTTTTGGGTGCTTTTTAGCACAAAGAGTACTGTACAGTATTATTCAATCTAGCATGGCTCCAAATAAAGTGCAAAGCAACTATGGTGATAAAAAGAAAGTGCAGAGCAGTAATGAAGGTGACAAGAATGTGCAAAGAAAGAATTGTATGAAGATTTTGAAGGAACTAACCATAAAATCAAAGAATGAAATTGTAGAAAAACATGAGCACAGTATTCTTGTGATTTTTCTGGCCTTGGAGTACAAGAAGGCAGTGTTGACAATCTCAAATATCAATCAAATAAATCATCAAAATCAAAGCAAAATCAAAATATCAATCTCAGATATCAATAAAAAATCATCAAATAAAGATTCCACCAAAGGAGCTGATGTGGCCAAAGGAGTCATGATGTTAATCAAGCAGAGGATGCAAGGGGAGGAAGAGATGGAAAAATGTGGTAGTGTGGCTGAATGAAAAATAGCTAGCTGGTGATAGCATTATTGAAACTATGATCTGTGAAAAAGCCAGGAAAATGCACAGTGATTTACTGCAAGAAACCCCTCTACAAGTGCAACAAGTGATGAATTTAAGCAAGTAGAGGGTGGTTGGATGAATCATACAAGAGAAGTGGCATCCACAGTGTGATAAGACATGGTAAGAATTCCAATTCTGACAAGGCCACTGCAGAAGCCTACAAGAAAGGATTCACAGAATTCATGAAGGCAGTCTCGATACATTGCTTAACAAGTGCTCAACTATGATGAAAGAGGGATCTTCTGGCAGAAGATGCCAAACAACCTATATCATGCAGAAGGCAAAAGGCACTGCCAGGCACAAGCCCATGAAGGACAGATTGAGCCTTTTCCTTTGTGTGAGCAAAAGGGATGATCTGGAGATTAAGCCATTACTAATGTCCCATTTACAGACCCCTGGTGCATTCAAGGTACAGAATGTGAACAAGGCCAGAGTGCCTGTTTCATGGAGGACAGTGTGAAAGCTTGGGTCACTATGTAATTTTTCATGGAATGCTTGCAGGAGGTGTTCACATGTACTATTAAGAAATATATTTCTAACAGCCAACTACCTAAAACATTCCTTCCTTTGATGGACAATGGCCCAGCACACAGTCCAGCCTTGATTGGTGACATGGATGGTGAGTATGACTTCATAAAGACCAGATTCCTCCTCCCAACACAGCACCTCTTCTGCAGCCCATGGACCAGCAAGTCATCTGCAACTTCAAGGAGCTTTACACAAAGGTGCTCTTCACCAGGTGTTTTAATGTCATTGAAGAGATGTCTTTGACTCTGAACGAATTCTGGAAGAAACACTTCATTGCCCTCCATTACATCAAACTCACTGACAAAGCCTTGGGAGATGTCACTGAATGTGACTTTGAAGGCTGTGATGCACAGATAGTTGAGGGGATTGTGTCCCTGGGCAGTAGTATGGTTCTGGACATCCATGGAAAAGACATAGAGGAGCTTGTTGAGTTCCATAAGGAGGAGCTGAGGGTGGAAAAACTTGCTGAACTTCAGAGTGAGTAGCAGAAGATGCTTGTTGAGGAGCCTTCCACTGAGGAAGAGGAAGACAGGGAGGAAGTTTGCAGCTATTTGATAAAATCCATTATGGAAGAATGGAATGAGTGCCAGGATTTCCTTGAGAAGAACCACCCCAATGTAAATGTAACAGTGTTGAATCTACTGAATGATAACATGGTTTCTCATTTCTGGAAGGTTATGTAGTGCTGGAAAAAATAGGTGACTTTAGACAGATTTTTCACGAAAATTGAACCTGCAGCTAAGAGACAAAGAAGAAAGAAAACCCCTGAAGGAAATCTCCCGTGTCCTTATGGAGGGGGACTCTCCCTCCAAATAATAACCTTCCCAAACACATTCCTGTACTCTGTGCCAGGAGTCACCTTAAGCAAGGGTAGTGTTCCTTCTCTTCATACTGTGTTGTACTTTGTTTCATATTTTTATGGTTAAAAATACATATGGCTCAGACTGGAGTAACTTTATTTACATTTAGCCTTATGGGAAAATTTTTTTCAGTTCATGACCAACTCAGTGAATAATCAGAATTATAGAGCAAATTAAGTTCATGAACTGAGATGCCACTATATTCCATAGCTCATCAGTCCCTGGCATGGATTAGTCTTTAGAGGTGGGTGCTCTGTGCTTTCTGAAGAACTTATCTTGGGCTGCCTGGAAGCCTATAGCACTTGTGCTCTCTTATTTTTCTCAATCGTGGTAAATTGTCGAAAGCAGGCACTCCATGGCTTTTGGAGATCCAGCTTCCTCCTTTTCCCTCTGGCATTTAGGATCCCTCCTTCAAAAATTTCTCCAATCTACTTCCTGCCTCCCCACTCCTGACCATGTACACAAAGGTGGAGAATGAAGAACACAATGAGATATTTGGGTTGATTTTCAAATGCAGCACTGTTCACAATAACTAAGATGTGGAATCATTCTAAATGTGCATCAATATGTGAATGAATAAAAAACATATTTTATATAATGCCAAAATGTATTATAGTTCTGAGAAGAAATATTTGAGTAAGTTTCTACAGGTAAGATTCCCTTAAATTTAAGTGTCTTGTAGAATTTGGTATTTTCCTTGGGTAACATTTCTATAGATACTAGTGACCAAAAATTTAAAAACATCAGAAGTAATGGGAAAGAAAACAACATAACATGTGTGGCTTAATATGGGTTGCTGATTTCTATTTGAATATAAATATTTTAGTTACTAGTTGAAAATCTAATGTAAAAACACAGTGATGAATATTTTAAATTTTAAAGTATTCCTGAATTTTTGTGATACTTATCACCCTTCTGAGTCATCTTGCATCAAGAAGGTCCAGGTTTCCTGCTGCACTGTCAGAGGACATGGTTTCAACAGCATCCTTGACCATTTCTCCCACTTAATTGCACTTCAGTTACACAGTGGTAAATATACATTAGCTTTGGACCAGTGCCAAAGCTACTAGGGAAGTCTGCAACTCAAATCACACAGGAATTGTACAAGGAATAAAGTAGCATTGACTGTGGAATACAAAGCTATTCTGGGATGAACTTGAGCTTTGAGAATAGATTCTGAAGAGCTTTTGCTTATCCATTTCTATGGACACAGTCAGTTGAGGGGCATAGGAGGAAAATGTGGCAGACCCTGCATGCTTATCAGGATATTAAAATCTCATTTTGTCCTGACTACCATGCTTAACAAATTGTGAGGAAAAATTCTCTGCAAGTTTGGGTGACTTTAATGGGTCAATTATGTAAATGTCTTTGATCTGATACCTCAAGGAGAAGGAATTAGAATGTTGTCCCATGCATCAGCTGGGAGAACTGGTGACATATTTTGTAATTAATTTGTTGCAAGAGGTAAGAGAACGAGAGGATGCTCCAGTGCTCCTAGGTATTTCTGTGTGTCTAGACCACCCATGCTTATTTTAAAATTAGAGGTAGAGCAGAAGGATAAAAAAACTAAAAATATTTTGAACATTGATAAATCTGAGATTGAAGCAGGAGCCTCCAGTCATTATTGGGTGATAATTATATTTGTGATCATAGAATGAGCAAGCTGTCATGCTGCTAGAAGAGTAGGTGTGCACCACACCTCCAGTTAACTAGCAAGGAAGGCACAATTGGGACACTATATTACATCCTGCCCAAACATTTCCATCTAACACCAGGCAGGACATTTAGCATACACATGAGACACTCATTCTTGCATCTCCTTAGACTTTCCGCCTGTGGTTTCACATCTACAACCTCACTTGACAAAACCATACTACTCATTGTTATTTTTCAAAATATTTGTTCAATAACTTCTAGAAAGAGCCAACAAAATAGGGATATTTTTGCTATATGTACCTGCTACTCCTATTAAATATGTTAACTAATTTACCAGTTCCATCCCCAAGCCTTCCCCAAGCTGCCAGCTAGATATTCTAAGGCAAGAAAGATACCAGAACAATTTCTGCTCCTGGGAAACCAAGACACTTCATTTCATTACACTTTTGTACACTCTAAATTGTCTTTCACAGCGTGCATGGTTCCTTTTTATCATAAGATAGAGAGCTATGTTGTGATTATTCAATAGTATGCTGATGAATTCCAACTTAAACAGAATTAAGTTGAGTAAAGTTCATATGACTAGAAAACCTGAATTGGAGGCTTGCTGTTGACGGTGCCAGCCATCACCAGTGGAACAGTACCTGAGAGGAGGGGAGAGGATGAAAGAAAAACAAAACCTCTGAGGAAAAGAAAAAGGAGAGAGAGAGGCGGAGGAGAGACCCCTCTTCCCACTTTATTGCCCTTTATATACCTTTTCCACAACCCCCAACCCCTCCTCAGCACATAATTCGGGCGACTAATTATTTTCCAGGGAAAAGGTCAAATGTATCTTTACAACTCCGGAAATAACGTTCCCTTGCATTACAGACATTCGAACTCTTTCTATTTAACCACTCTCGTTACAAGTAACCATCCTTGTTTTTGTGCCAGCTGCATATCCAGGATTCATTATGTTCTCAAGAGACTCAGAGGTCTCTGAAGGTTATTTCAACCTTTCACTCTCCACATGCTGTGAATAAGAAACCAGTGCTATCTATTCCCACAGGGAAGAAGCAGCAGGGCTAAGAAATTAGCCAACATGAACTTAACAGAGTTCTTGCTGACGGGATTCTCTGATGACCCTGTGCTCCAAAAGGTGCATGCCATGCCCTTCTCCCTGATTTACCTGACAGCCCTGACAGGGAACCTCCTCATCATTGCCCTCACCACTGCTGACCAGCATCTCCAATCTCCCTTGTACTTCTTCCTGAAGAACTTGTCCTTCATAGATATCTGCTACATCTCAATCACTGTCCCTAAATCCATCAAGAACTCTCTGACCAGCATTTATTCTATACCCTTCCTGGGTTGTGCCTTGCAGGTTTTCTTCCTGATTGTCCTTGCTGGCACAGAGTATGCCCTCCTTCTAGTGATGCCCTATGACTGTTATGCTGCCATCTGCCACCCACTGCATTATGAGGTTCTCATGAACAGGGACACCTGTGTGCAGATGTTGATGGCCTCCTGGCTTGGAGGGTGCATCTATGGAGCCCTGCACATGGCAGGTACATTCTCTGTTGGTTTCTGTGAGGCCAACAAAGTGATTCAGTTCTTATGTGAGCCCCCGTCACTTCTCAAACTTGCCTGTTCCAGAGAGCCTGTGCTGGAGCGTGGGTTGATCATTGCTAGCTGTGTGGGTGTTTTCATGTGTTTTATTGTGATGCTTGTGTCTTATGTTCACATTTTTTCTACTGTACTGAAAATCCAATTTTCAAAGTGCAGAGTGAAAACTCTTTACACCTGCCTGCCTCATGTCACTGTGGTGACATTATTCCTCTGTTCTGGGTCTGTTACATATGTAGCTGAAAGTTTTATAACCTCATCTTTACTGAAATCATTGACATTGCTGCTTTACGTGGTGCTTTCCCCCACAGTGAACCCTGTTTTCTACAGCCTGAGAAACCGGGAGCTGCAGGCTGCCTTGAGGAATGTGAGAGCTGTGGAAGTGTCTAGGATTTTCATTTTAATTAAAAGATGTAAAATTTAATTATGTTAGTGACTTGGTTGCTGAAAATAGTTCTACTCCCTTTGGCTACTCCAAAAAGTTCTGTAATTCAATGTATAAAGAAGTACTAGGTCAATGTTTAATCTTCCCTGTTGGAAATTTTCAATTCAGTGGCTCTCTTTTCACTATTGACTTTGTATCATGGGAATTTACATCAAATTCTGGATGATTTATGTTCTCCAACAACATTTGAAAATATACTGTGAAGTCACAATATTTTCAGGCAGTCACAACAACAACATTTTATTGTCAATGTGGGAAATACACTTCATATTCAAAGTATCTATTTTTTACAGTGCAGGAGCATAGATGTCAATACATGGGTTCAAAGACTACTGTCATCCATGCTAATGACTTACTTCAGGTGGGGCTTGGAACAGCCCTCAGAGGCCTGAGAATGGCAAGGTCTGGAGGCAGCCATGATGATGCTCAGGCTGAAGTCCAGATATGAAGAGATCTCAGCCACAAGGCTTTTCCTTCCATATGAGGAACTCAAAACCCACAATTCGAAAAGGGTTCCTTTAAAATTTTTTCCAAAAGGGTTCTTAACCTCTTTTTTATACTCTATTTCTTTTTGTCTTGTCTCCATTGTCTTTCTATCCCTCTTAAAATTTGAGGGTTTTTTATGTCAAATGTAGCCATAATCTTTCTCTTTTTCGCCCTTGGGGATCAAGTAGATTTTATTGTAATACATTTTATTTTAATGTAATACAAGTAGATATTAATAATAAGCCATTCTATGAAAAAATTATTCTACATAACAAAAATTATTAGAATAAAAATGG